TGCAAAGCACAAATAAATAGAAAATCAGTCAAAATGCTCTGAATACAATTCACTATGTTGAGTTCAATTATGCATAATGTGTAAAACAAAACAATTTTTTGACGTTCGTTCGAAAATTTACCCAATTGATGACCAATGACCTTGAATTCAATAGTACGTTGCTGAAATGTACGTGATAATGAGTAGAGTACATTTAAGTCAAATAAATGCATCTACCGAAGACATGCATGACGGTTTTAAATCAACGGTTAGTATGAGTACTGTTCTCTTACAAACATAACATATTTTTCAGCAAGTAATTGCAAAATAATTTAAATTAAGTAATTTGAAACATATCAAACACATTGTTATATCCACATGATGAAAGAAATATCGTATTTATATAATCGTTCAGTAAACACAAAATACATCCTCTGTGTTAATATTTTCAAAATTCTTCATGAAATGGGTAATGAGGGTGATTTTGGCGTCTGAAACAGAATTATAGAAATATTATAAGCACAATTCAAATTTAATATAATATGCAGAACCGTTATAGAATACTACTGGCCGGTAATAATCTGGCGGTAGAAAAGAAGTACGGATATTGACAATAGAATTATGCATATGGAAATGACATAAACACTCACTAGAAATTCAGTTTGAGAGTGATGTGTAGCTCGAATATCACACCACGCCTCATTTTAGATTCTGTTTACCTAAAATGTCCATTAATCTATTGTATGACAAGGTATGATTTGGTATTACCCAAGTAAAGACCAAATGACGGCATACACTCCAATGCTCATGAGTGCTTACTTTTAACGGAAATTGATGCTTGAATAATGTGTCAATTGATTCAGGGCCAAGAAATGTGATAACAAATTATCATGGACACGCCACATTTTCAGAAAAGCAATTCTGAGTACAAACAGTCCAACTTTAACCAATAATACATACCCACGTGTTGTACGTGAATTTTACAAATCGCGACTCGAAGGGCTATACGTCACATTAACATAATTTTCATTCAATAACCCCCTCCCCCAATAAACACACGGTAGTCCACATATTTGTACAAAAACTTCATAAACTAGCAACTAATAAATTGTAGTTCATATGATGCCATCTTTTTAGCTCTGACATTAATAATTTGGCTTACAAAAGGTATATCTGTTGATTTTCAATGTTTCATTTTCGTCATTTTTCTCGTGAATAAGTCAAGATGTTCGAAGCATTTATACTAACTTTTTTCTTCATTTTCGTTTCATTTCATTTTAACGTGTAAAAGCCAAGACTCCAGGCCCACAAGATCATGCGTACAACTCGCCATTTAAAATCGCATGCTTAATTTCACGTAGAGAAAGAATAAATTTACCTCGCCCAAATGCGTTCCCCACCGATCATCCAGTTTCGATTGAGGGCTTCTATTGAGATCAATTCGGTAGTGGTCAATTTGAAATCGAATACCTGTAAAAGTAATGTTAGGTGCAGTGCAAACATTAAATATTCTGTTGAGCAAATCATACTGTCATCTCTCATATTCGAATACGCCAAGCTGATTGGAGGAGATCCGATCACGTAAAATGAATAGTATATCCCCTCAGTTTATGCAAATTATACCAACATTCCTCTAATGGCGTTTGCATGTGGGACGAACTATGCACCAAGATGGCTGTCGAATTTGGATTTCAAAAATCGAATTGTTAAAAGTCTAAGTATCGATAGGTTTGGCAAACTAACACAATATTGTCAAGACCGATGCTGAAAACAACAGCGATATTTTACTCCTTGACGCGAGCAGCTGACAATACCGTGTCCAGTCTAAACGCCACTAACACAACACTAACACATAATCTGAATCCGTAAACTAAAAGATGGTCGCTCGATAAAAATAATAGTAATTGAAATAATGTCAATTTTGTTTTTCTTTCCACTTAAGAGTTATGGGAGAACTAAATAATATACATTACACAATAAATGTGAAAAAATGCATGCAAGAAATATGTATGATTATGGCACCATCCCAAGGACAATGAAATACTGGTACATAAAAAAAAAAAACAGTACGGCATATAAAACTTCATCATAATATACTCACAAAACTGAAAGTTCAAGTTGTTTCGATGAATTGAATATTTGATTAATATGTTTGGTCTAAAAAAATATTACGGCTTTAATAATTGTTTCCTTTTTGTATGAAAAGCTATGCACCCAAACACAAATATAGTTATCTGATGATCATAATGTTCATATTTTATCATGACTAGCAACGTTTTGATAACGACCAGTAATAATAGGTAATGTATTATTACGTAATCTAAATTCACATAGTTGAATACGATGAGCTGGATCAAGACATAAAAGGTGTTGTGAAATAACAGAGTATACAAGCCTTTTTCATGCATTTCAGAAGTTTAATATCGCGTGTAAAATCCAATAACCTTAATTTCATATTTTGTTTAAAAGGTTCAACCAAACGTTAGACATACTAGACCTGATTTTAGTCATCCAAGAGTATGTCATATACGGCTTTCATTAAGTCAATTGGCTGACATAATTTGCGGATTGTGCCTTCATCACAGTCCCTCGCGGATTGACACGCCGTGCCTGATCAGTCTGCTTGAGTTTAGCCTTGGTAAATTTATAATTTAAATTATAATTAAATATTGTGCCAAGATAAACATGATCAGACGTTACCTAAATATTAGCCTCACAAAACATGAACATAGGAAATTTTTTACATTTCCCACAAGAGTAAGGAATTATTTTAGTTTTTCTGCATTTTCAGTTAAATGCCATTCTTTACACTCCTCACATACAGTTTTGAGCGTTAACTGCGGCTCATTTTGATGCATCTGTTCACTGCGCGATACCTCTATCACAGGACACGGAAAATCTCGTGAGATATAGAAACTATGTTATTCGACGTCAGAGAGTAATAGATGGAATATCGACTTGATAATCAAATATATATATATACAATTCACTCCTTTGACTAGTTTTTAAAATTAACCAGTCGTTTTGGAGGCGATGTCAAAAATAGTTAAAAACATTAAATAAATATACGATATGGTTATATATATCAACGTAAAGCTTAGGATACTAGTACTCAGTCCATTGTTCACACTTGACTGATTTGTTGTCAGAACAAGCCAAGGGTAAACTCATTTTGTTTGTATTTACTCAAAAAAGATCATACCACTTTTGACACGACAATTTCCACTTATTAGGGTTTCATTGTGATATGCATTAACTATTAGCTTCGGGTTATATGAGTTTTATCTTTCCGACCTATTATTGCGCCTCGGTGAATATTTGTCACATCGGGGAAACAAATCTTCATACACCCCCTCAGTTGAAGTTAATAATTGTTTATTAACAATGTGTAATATCGTGTGATCGACTCACATCAATGTGTACTATCGTGTGATCTACTCACATCAATGTGTAATATCGTGTGATCGACTCACATCAATGTGTACTATCGTGTGATCTACTCACATCAATGTGTAATATCGTGTGATCTACTCACATCAATGTGTAATATCGTGTGACTTACTCACACCAATGTGTAATATCGTGTGATCTACTCACATCAATGTGTAATATCGTGTGATCTACTCACATCAATGTGTAATATCGTGTGATCTACTCACATCAATGTGTAATATCGTGTGATCTACTCACATCAATGTGTAATATCTGAGATCTACTCACATCAATGTGTACTATCATGAGATCTACTCACATCAATGTGTATATCGTGTGATCTACTCAATCAATGTGTAATATTTTGTGATCTACTCACATCAATGTGTAATATTGTGTGATTTACTCACATCAATGTGTAATATCGTGTGATCTACTCACATCGTTGTGTAATATCGTGTGATCAACTCACACCAATGTGTAATGTCGTGTGATCTACTCACATCAATGTGTAATATCGTGTGACTTACTCACACCAATGTGTAATATCGTGTGATCTACTCACATCAATGTGTAATATTGTGTGATTTACTCGCATCAATGTGTAATATCGTGTGACCTACTAACATCAATGTGTAATATCGTGTGATCTACTCACATCAATGGGTAATATCGTGTGATCTACTCACATCAATGTGTACTATCGTGTGATCTACTCACATCAATGTGTAATATCGTGTGATCTACTCACATCAATGTGTATTATCGTGTGATCTACTCACATCAATGTGTAATATCGTGTGATCTACTCACATCAATGTGTAATATAGTGTGATCTACTCACATCAATGTGTATTATCGTGTGATCTACTCACATCAATGTGTAATATCGTGTGATCTACTCACATCAATGTGTAATATCGTGTGATCTACTCACATCAATGTGTAATATCGTGTGATCTACTCATATCAATGTGTAATATCGTGTGATCTACTCACATCAATGGGTAATATCGTGTGATCTACTCACATCAATGTGTAATATCGTGTGATCTACTCACATCAATGTGTATTATCGTGTGATCCACTCACGTCAATGTTTTCTTGTAGTCGATCTCGATGTACACTTTTTGTAATAACCGAGCAGCCTCGTTGAATGGCAAATCTGAGGGCCACTTGTGCGCACGTTTTGCCGTGTCGCTCGGCTATGGACAGCAGTAATGGGTCTCTTGTGATATCAGGCTCGACCGCTTTAGCCCTGTTATTATAACACAGAGTACATTGGCAATAAATGCATAATTTGATGTTAATTATATTGCATCTTCACTTATATTCGCTAATCTCTATTTCAAATATATCGACAAATCGGTGTTTTCAGAGTATTGCACATGCTCACACGAGGCAGTTGACTTTCAGTCTTTTCTTGTCATTTTACATAGAATATTCATATAAATTCCATACAAGGTTATTGACATTAACTAAATGATTTAGCGTAACTTACCAAGGTCTTCCTCGGCAACATAGTGGACTATATGCTGTAACAATTATCTCATATGACTGACACCATTCTAGTAATTTTGTTCTTGTTAAGTAAGGGTGTACCTCAATCTGTTATAATAATAATATACAGTGAATGCTTCAAATAATATGTATGTTCTATTCGAGTAGAGTTGAACTATGCAATTTATATGTACGTATTTAAGTATATTATTACATATGCACTTCAGTTTATTTTGATTCGTCCATGAAATCAAAATCGGTATTTCTACAACCCATATGCAAATGAGGTCTGAGAGCAAACAAAGTAGTCCCTTCAGGAGTACAGTTTTTCGAAATAAACAATATTTAGAAGTATGATACTTTCCCCTTGGGGTACATGTAATATACTTGCCAAGTGAAATGAAATTTGAACAACAGTAATGGTACTTTTAGGCAGTCACTTATTTTGGCCC